CTGAGGGAGAAGAGGAGGAATGATTCAAAATAGATAATCAAGAGAAAGAGAGGGAGAGAGGGAGGGGGAGGGAGGGAGGGAGGGAGAGGGAGAGAGAGAGAGAGAGAGAGAGAGAGAGAGAGAGAGAGAGAGAGAGAGAGAGAGAGAGAGAGAGAGAGAGAGAGAGAGAGGGAGGGAGAGAGAGAGAGAGAGAGAGACAGAGAGAGGGAGAGAGAGAGAGACAGAGAATGAAAAATGAGGAAAATTAATCCAACTGGTTTCTTTGTTTATTTATTGGGCAAATAAACTATTCAGTTTGTCTTGTTAAGGAATATCACTTAATATAAACATTCACTGTAGCATCTTAAAATGTAAAAGAAAATAACAAATACTACCTTTGAATAACGACCATGGACTTAAATAAGTAGAACAAAACATCATTAGTAAACAAAAAAACAAACAAGCAAACAAAAGAATACGAATGAAAGAAAACAAATGGCTTAGATCTGATATGGTGACGATTTTTATTTTTCTTCTCCGTATCGCGTTATCAACCATGAATAATCACAGCGCGAACATATTAATTGAATCTACACGGACAGTCATTAATCCAATTTGCAAATTATCAAGATCGAGATAAAGGGGTGAGTGAAGGGATTCGTCAGAAGGCCAAATAAGTGATTTATTCATTTTCATTTTTTGTTATTATTATTATTATTCAATTATTTATCTATTCATTTATTACTTTCTTTTTAAAGTTGAATTTTTATTTTATTTTTTTGTGTAAGAGGAATTCGACATCGATATGTGGTTTTGCAGGTTTATATTAATACTTAAAAGGCTTAATTTACGAGGCTTTAGTTGTGTTGCTAACTAGTCTACGAACTTTCTGGATCTCCCGCTGAGGCTAAGTGTGGAATTATAGATGATATCATATGGCGAGTTCGCAAAAAATGAGCTTATGATATCATCAGCTTAAATCTGTCATTCTCCAGAACATGGCATCGGTATTCGTAGTCCTTAGGGCATTTATATATCAACGCCATGTATTGGGAATATAAAACCAACAACGCTATCTATTGGCAATATAAAACTAACAACACCATCTATTGGAAAGATAAAACTAATAACGCCATATATTGGAAATATAAAACAAACAACGCCATCTATTGATGATATAACCAACAACGCCATCTATTGGAGATATAAAACTAACAACATCATCCATTGGAAATATAAAACCAACAACGCCATCTATTGCAGATATAAAAACAACAACGCCATGTATTGCAGATATAAAACCAACAACGCCATCTATCGCAGATATAAAACCAATAATGCCATCTATCGCAGATATAAAACCAACAATGCCATCTATCGCAGATATAAAACCAACAACGCCATCTATCGCAGATATAAAACCAACAACGCCATCTCTTGCAGATATAAAACCAACAACGCCATCTATTGGAGAAATTAAGAACTGTAATAGTAATACCAATGAGTACATTATAAAACAGAAGCTTGCTGACATGGGATCGAAATAACAACATATAAATACGTTAATAGTAATATTAAAATACCAGAGCCTCGGCCTCCACACCCTTCTGACATTGATAAATATAACCTCGGGAGAAAATGAGAGAGAAAGACGTATCTCTCTCGTAAAGAGAATCTACATCAGTACATACGTTACTTCGTTGTGTCTAATCTTCGTCAGAGTCAGCAAGTGTTAAAGGGGAACATTATTTTGTATCTGAATTTTGTAATTTGTGAAAGGGAACATTATTTTGTATCTGTATTTTGTATTTTGTTAAAGGGAACATTATTTCGTATCTGTATTTTGTATTTTGTGAAAGGGAACATTATTTTGTATCTGGATTTTGTATTTTGTGAAAGGGAACATTATTTTGTATCTGTGTTGTAATAAGTAAGTGTAATGAATATAATTATGTAGGACAAGTGCAGGTCATACAATATTTATGATTACTAGCCTCGCCTGAAGTATAAATGTATGGACACTGTTAGATGAATAACAACAGTAACAACCGAGGTGGGTATTAAATAGCATCTTAAAACAACAGACAAGGTGATTACCATAATTGCTTAATTTTACGGTTTTGATTAAAGTCATTCTAGTGTTATGGTATCATTTTCATCCTCATTATTAATCAATTTAAACATACAAGTCTCCGTGATCATTGGTTTACACATATACTTCAAATTATTATTAGCAACGTCGTCGTCCTCACAATCACGATCCTCCTCTTGTCATCACCATCACTATCACCATCCTTGTTCCCATCATTATCACCATCATCATCACCATCATCATCATCGGTCACCACCACCAAACCATAACCACTATTTTCACCATCCTACATACACACAATATATTAACCGACACACCGCCTTCGTCATTATTTTTTTTTATAATACATTTTTTTTTTTTTTTTGTATAATTCGTCATCTGATAAAATCTTTCCTTTACTAGACTAATGAGCTCATTATAATCGGTCGTGGCGTTATCTGATGGTCTGAGATTCTAACTTATGACTTTCGTAAACTTGATTGTAACGTTCTTTTTTTTGTGGGGGGGGGGAGGGGGGCGGTGTCGTCATCATCACTATCATTGTCGTTTTCACCACCACTGCCATCATCATCATGCTTATCATTATCATTATTACTATTATCATCATCATTACTACCATCATCGTTATCATTATTACTATCACTGTTGTATGATGATTATTATAATTATTATTATCATTACTATTATTATTATTATAATTATTATTATTGTTATTATTATTATTACTACTACTACTACTACTATCACTATCACTATTATAATCGCTATCACTATTATTATCACTATCACTATTATTATCATTATTATCATTATCATCATTATCATCACTAATACTATCATCATGATCGATATCGTCACCATGATTATCACCATTATCCTTCGCCTCCTCCTCCTCATCATCATCACTATTACTAATTGCCTTTTTCACCCCCCCCCCCCCCCCCCCCCCCCGCCACATCACGCCCCGTTCACGCCCCAAGGATGTAAGTGAATCTCTTGATTAAAGGGAAAAAAATAAGATATTTATAACAATAAATGTTTTTGTTGTTGTTGTTTTTTGTCTTTTTTGTTTTTGTTTTGTTTTTGTCGCAGTGTATCGGGAGATGGCTTGACCTGACCCCGTGTTTGTGTTGATTGGTTGTTTTGTTTATGTTTTGTTTATGTTTTGTTTTTGTTTTGTTTTGTTCTGGTTGTTTCGGTTACTTGGCTGGTTGGATAGGTCGTTGGTTGATTGGTCGTTTGTTTGTTTGGTTGATTCTTTGTGAGAGAGAGGGAGGGAGAGAGAGAGAGAGAGAGAGAGAGAGAGAGAGAGAGAGAGAGAGAGAGAGAGAGAGAGAGAGAGAGAGAGAGAGAGAGAGAGAGAGTGTGATATATATATATATAATATATATATATATAATATATATATATATATATATATATAGACAGACAAAGAGAAAGAAAGAAATAATGAAAAAGAGAGAGAGAGAGAGACAGACAGACAGACAGATAGACAGGCACACAGACAGACATCTAGACAGACAGAGACAACAGACACATCCAGACAGACAGACAATGAATGAATGAACCCGACAGCCTAACAACGTGAGACGGGAGACATCAAACATACACACAAACAGACACAATCAATATACCGTTAAATAATACATAACTATTACGTCATACTCAGCGACGATCTCGATTAACATAAGCCATGAATCAACGTCACTTAAAAAGAAGAAAAAAAAACAAGTTAATAAACGCTCATAATGACGCCATTACTCTAGATTTACATAATAGGGACTCCCATTCTGCTATCAAATATTCCTTGATTTATAAGTCTTCGAAGCTGAAAATGTGTTCATATTCAACATTTTCTTATAAATCAGATTATTTTTGGGTGATATATTGCCGGTGTTCGATGTGATATGGGGGGGGGGAAGGGAGAGGGAGAGGGAGGGAGAGAGGGAGAGGGAGAGGGAGAGGGAGAGGGAAGGAGGGGAGGGGAGGGAGAGAGAGAGAGAGAGAGAGAGAAAGCAAGAGAGAGAGAGAAAGCAAGAGAGTTTGAAAAAGCGAGAGAGAGAGAAAAAGCGAGAGAGAGAGAGAGTGAGAGAGGAGAGAGAGAGAGAGAGAGAGAGAGAAACGTGACGAGGGACAGAGACATAGAGAAAACACACCTGAGACAGAGAAACCAAAACATACCACGCACCCCCCCCCCATACCCCACCCTACCTCCGAAAAAAAAAAAAACGAACACCAACAATCAACAATCAACAACAACAACAATACGGACAGGCCGACATCACCGCTTAGGCCAACAAAAACAGCATTTCTCCGCCATCACCCTTCCCCCCTCCCCCCATTCCCCCCTCCCCCCCAGCAAATACAGGCAAAACAGCCACCGACACGACGCGAAAGGGACGCCACCCGTCTCCCCTAAAATCCCATGGCGCCCATAAGAGAGTCGGCAGAGCTAATCTCAACGCAAACAGACCCGTCGCACTTACGCCTTACTTGTGTCCCGGTCCGTGCTCTACCCCCCCTTCCCTTCTCCTTCCCCTTCCCCTCCCCCTCCTCTTACCGGTCTTTTCTCTTCCTCCCCCTTCCGCCCTTCCCCCCTCCCCCTCCGCCACGTCCTCCACTCCCTCCTCCTACGTCATTCTCGTCTTCCTCTTTCCTCCCTCCCTCCTCCTCCTCCCACGTCTCTCTCATGTTTCATCCTTCTCCTCTCATCTCTCCTCTTTCTCCTTCTCCCCACCTCTCTTTGCCTCTCCTCCCTTTTCACCCCATCCTCTACTTTCCTTCTCCCTTACTCCTTCGTTCTCTCCCCTCCACTCGTCCCCTCCCTTCTCCCCCGCCGGTCTCCATCCTCCTCCCTCCCTCTCCCCTCCACTCTTCCCTCTCCTCCCTTCTCTCCCCCATCCTCCACCCTCCTTCTCCTCCCCTTTCC